TGCAATAAAGAAGAACTTTTGCTTTTTGACTTGTTAACAACAGAACAAGCAAGGAGAATTAGGGCCTGATCACATGGATCATTTGAATTGTTTCTTTTTCCTCCTTTTTTATATCAATATATTTGGATACATAGTCATGTGGTATTTAGGCCACTGGACCCCTTCACATGGCACTCAGTTCAATTAGTACATTTCTTGCTATTTCTGCTATTTCTGTAGATTACACGTCTCATATAAATCAATTCAGTTTTTCTCCTGCTTCCAAGTCCACACTATCCTTGTGTGTGTGTGTATATGGGCAATGTACAAAAGCAAAATACAAAGCAAGAGCTAAAACTGCACAGAGACTTTCTTGCTCTCCTTCATAGACCCCTGAATATTTATTTCATCCTGATGAATCTTATTTGGTGGAAATCCTTCAATACAAAGCAATTACCGCCACAAAAAGGATTAATCACTGCTCCTCTTTCTTTTTCCATTTAGGGTGGTGGTAAGGTGAGTATTAACAACACATGAAGATATGTTTGTGTTTACAAAACATGTTCTTGTTTTATTATCAACAACAGAGGAGAGGAGGAAATCTGTTTAGCTGAATATTTTTTCTGTCTCTCGCTCTCTTCCCCCTCTATGCACATTACACAGAAATTAGCAGCCACTTGTCTTTAGACTGATTCTGCTTCATCTGTTCTTTAAAAAAAATTCAAGTTAGAAATAGGAGGGCCCCAGATGGGCCTGCTAGTGCTATGAGTTTAATCAAAGTAGAAAGAGCAAGCCTGATCTTTGGGATGAGGTGGAAGTGGACTTGAGAGCCTTCACTGCTTCCATTACTAAGCCTCTTCTCTCTGGGCCATCTCTAAATGCACATTAAATCCTTGCTTTCCCTGCAAAAAGAGAATCACTGCTTCTTTCTCTGTTTCAGGCTGGTGGTGGTCTTACCGGCGGTCTTCCAGTGAGTACTGATAATTCTTCGACTGCTGTAGAGCTTAGAAGGGAGAAAAAAATTTGCTTTTTGGCTTCACCACCACAGAATAGGCAACCTCCATTCTCTCTGTCCCCCTATTCTACCTCTGCTGTAGATCTGTGTTACAATTGATGGTCCATTAGTTTTACACCACTACCATAGCAGTTATAAGTCCTGGTACCTCTTCCTGACTGTAAACAAATTCTTCTCCTGATTTTGATCCAGAATTTGTAACCATGGTGTGTAAATACTCTATAGAAATTGAAATCCTGTTCTGGTTATTATCACCCTATAACTGATATCCCAAGTTTCATCCTTCGCCCTAATCTAACTTCTTACATCTATACAGTGGGGTCTTGACTTGAGAACTTAATCCGTATTGGAAGGCGGTTCTCAAGTCAAAAAGTCTGTAAGTCAAGTCTCCATTGACCTAC